CTGGTGCTTATTTACTATCAACGCTATTATTTCGTATACTTGAGCCGAGCTAGTAGAAAACAATTCTGCTCTGAGTTCCTCTATGATTTTCTGCTGTTCCTTATTTACTATCCACACTATTAATTCATACATTTGAGCTGAGCTAGTGTCCTCTGCACTTGTTCTGGGTGGGCATTGGGTTTTCTCCATGTTTCTGCATTTGATTCTTTACTCCAGATGTTATTAATTCAGGGATTTGTTTTTTCATTTCCAATCTGAATTCCTCTGTACCTTTCTGCAGCTGTTTCTTTATTACAGAAGCCGTTGATTCTTTGCTTTCAGCTGTGTGATTCCCACTTTGTTCTGTGTTAGTGTCCTCTGCACTTGTTATGGGTCGGCTTAGGGTCTGAGATTGCATTTTGCTCCTTCTCGTTGTCATTTTGTGTAGCACTGTCTTCTGACCTTTGTTGTAGAGCTTTGGTGCAGTTATAACCTTGGTACCTACTGAAGTTCAGGTACAGATCTACCAAGTTTGGATTTATCCAGCTGTGCCTGGCTTGGTTCTGGCTGCTGTGCTCAGCTCCTTCCTGCTGCTGCCCTTGGGAGTGAACCTGTTCTGCCCCTCTCGCAAGATGTTCTGCTCCTAGTGTAACTGGGTGGTTCTGTCCCCTAATCTCTCTGTAGGGAGTGCAGCTGCAGGGTTTCACCTCAGTCCTGTATTCCAGTCCTGAGCTGAGTCTGGAAGGGACAAGGTGAGTAGGGGGGAGAGTTAGCTCTCCCACACACTCACCGGACCTGGGCTAGGACTGGATCTGGGGGTCCCCAGAACGCGAAAGAAAGTCTCCCTGGGCGGGCATGGTGGGGCGGTCTGCTGAGTGGTGGTGGGGTCCCAAGGTGGTGGAAGTGGTTCTCACGCACGCTGCACCTGGGCTGGGACCAGCAGGTCCTGCTGGCACATGGTAGCCGGAAGCTCTCACACATACTCACCAGACCTGGGCTAGTACTGGATCTGGGGGTCCTTAGAATGCAGTAGAAATTCTCACATGGCGGGCTGGGTGGGGGGTGCTGCGGAGTGGTTGTGGGGCCCCAAGGGGGTGGAAGGGGGTCTCACCCATGCTGCGCCTGGAGAGGGACCCATTTAAGCTCTTTCTTCTTGAGTTTGGTTAGGTTTTTTTCTTCTTGTGGTTCTGGGGATGAAACTTAATGTTCTGTGCATGCTAAGGATGTGGTTCTATCTCTGAGCTATGTTGCCAGTTCTTGATAGTCAGGTGAGCCTGGCAGAATCAAGCCAGTCTCCCCTGTATTGTACTATTATGGGAGGACACATATAGGAATGAATCTATAATTCAGAAGTAAATAAAAA